GAGGGACGGAGCAATAAAATGTGTTCATCCTTGAGTGGGGTTTTGTAAAGAGTGTCCCGGCACTTTGGGGTTGGGGGTTGTAAACGATGTTGGTACATTGTGGGTTGGGGTCGTGCATAGATTGTTTAGCCACTCCCCCAACCCAAAGTGCCCAGACAATGTTGAAACACACTTTGGTGGGTGCGGTGTAAACTGTCAGAGGACCCTTGGGTAGAGGACATGAAGTGCAGACACACTCACTGAGGGCTAAGATCATGGAGTGAGGATCCAGTTGCTGAAGGGCAAGGTAATGTGGGAGGTCAGAAACGTTATTCACTCACTGAGGGTCAAGATCAAGAAGGGAGAGTTGGGGGACCCTGGGGTCGGGTCGATGTAAACAGTGTTGGAACGCAGTGGATTGGAGGCTTGTGAACAGTGTCGAGACACCACAGGGTGGGTGGGGGTGCTGACCAGTATCGGGGTACCCAGGGGTAGGAGGAGTGAACTGTTTTGGGAAGCCAGGGGTTGGGGGTGATGCTGGTGCTGAACAGTGCCAGGCCATCCTGATGTGGGAGAGTTTCTGGAACAGTGCTGTACTACTACCCTTGAGTGGGAAGGAGCAATCATATTGGAGCATTCTGTGGGAGGATTCAATGCTGGGGCACCCTGGGATCAGGAGAAGTTGTGTTGCGTCACTCCTGGATGATGAGTTGTTCTGGAGCAACCTTGGTGGAAAGAGACATGTTCTGGAACAGGTTAGGTTGGAGAGGAAGACCCTGTTGGAGTGCCGCTGTGTGGGGAAGGAAAATTGTGTCGGTTCAGCCTGTTTTGACGAGGGGTATCAGTGCTGGAGTACCCTCAAGTGAGATGGGCATACGGTGCTGGGTACTCTGGGGTGAAATGAGTGAGTACTTGGAGCACCAGGTAAAGGCACCATGGACGGAAGGTTTTTCAGTGTCAGACAGAGGGCGTTATAGGTTTTGACTGAGGACCTTCTTGGGATTGACACCCTGCTTGGGTGATGATCTCACTGCTGGGCTGTGGATTTCAGCATCTGGTTGACGGACTGGGCGCGGAGACTTTTAGAGTGTGAGACAACCCTGAATGGGGGTTGCAGCAAATATGATTGGGCAACCTGTGTGGAAGGGGATTAGTGTATGGAACATTCAAAAGATACTGGAAGGATTTATTAGGGACATGTTAGGGCAGAGGGGGCTGTGGCCCTGTTGGTGATAGAGCAATCTCTGGAATGGTCAACCAAACCTGGCTGGGTTTGGGAGATGCGAGAATTCTGGGCGGTTGTCCCTTTTTATTAGTACATTAAAGGTCAACTTTTTTTTTTATCTGTATAAGGATTGGGGAAACGTAATTTTATGTGAGTGTTGAACACTTTCCATAAAGAAATGTTGATGCTTTGTCTGGATGTTTCATTGAAACCTGACAAAGGATCTCTATTTGAAATTAATCTACCCTTTTCACATGGATTCAGATGAGTCTGTTGTGTATTTACAGAGATTTGTGTTTTTTTAGCCTTTGCAGGTTTTTTTGTTCTTTTTGCCTTTATTGTTGTCACTGGTTTTCAGTAAAGTGCAATGAGTGTGAGATTATGTGAAAATGCTCCCAGCAGCATGATAGCTTTTATCTTTACAAACTTGAGTTATGGCTGAAGAGAGCAATTTATTTCAGTGAAGTACCAGTGAGAACAATTTGAGTGATTTCTGTTCTGAATATTGCACAATAAGTGCATTGCCTTACTTTAGAGCTTATTAGTGCTAAGTGTACTCTAATAACTAGGAGTAGATTGTGTCCTGTTTCAACTCTATAACACTGAATGAAAATGACCGTCAAAGAGCTGTAATGTTATTGTGATTGTTTTGTTTTCTAATTTTTAGAGGCGCATATAGCGGTGGCTAATTGTATTCATTGAGTCACCTGATTTTGTTCCTTTCAGCACCTCTCCTACTGAAATGTTTGCAGTTATTAGTTGCAACAGGCCAGTTGCTCCAAGTAAGGTTCTTTTCAGGACCAAGTAATTTGCAACTTTTCTCATCTGTGGAATTATTTTTGAGGTATTACCATATTCTGTTAATGACCAGTGAAGCCAGTTAAGGGAATTTTAAAAAATTTTGTTTTTGGCATGAGGCTATCATTGGCATGGCTAACATCTGTGTCTATCCGCCAGTATTCTGGAGAAGATGACAGTGTGCTGCCACAGCTTGAACTGCTGCAATGTCCAAGTGATATAGATGTGCATACAGTGCAGCTTTTCTGTAAATGAATTGATGCAACTAAGTGGCTTGCTAAAATAAATCACTCCACCTGAATGTTAAATTTGAAGTGCATATCCAGTCTTAATTTACCTTGTGATCAGTGCACCATCATTTCCACCATCACCTGGACAAGTTCCGAAATCAATGTTTGGCTTTCTATTCATTCACTGGGATGTGGACGTTGACAAGACTGGTATTCGCTGCTTATTCCAAATAGTGGTTAGCTGCTTATTTGAACCATTGCAGACCATTTCAGTGCTGTTAGAAGGGAGATCAAAAGCTTTGACCCAGCGATGTTGGCAGAATGAGATATTTCCACATCAGGATGGTGAGTGACTTGGAGGAGATCTTGCAGGTTGTTCTCATTTATCTGCTGCCCTTGTCCTTCTAGGCAGTAAAGTCATTGGGTTGGAAGGTGTCTGTTTCATATACTCCACCTTCAAGAACTTGTCCTTTTCTGAACCATAGTAGAAGGATGATTTTGACTAACAATGACTCAGTAAACTGCTTTTTCCTATTCGGTGGCAGGGCTTTGTGGGCTCCCAAATACAGAAGTGATAATTCAGGTCCAGCTGCCTGGTCACATCTGGTGATCAAATATATCTGAACCAGCTGAAAATTGTGATGTATTAGTTTACTCACATCCTCATGTCCTGCCTGACACAAGGTGCCAGCTGTTCAAACTACTGTCGCATCCAAATGAGTGCACAGATGGAGCTTTACTTAAATTCATCCAATACACAACACTTCTGACAGTCTGCTGAGTCTGTGCAGAAATATCCACATATTTCTTAAGCCCCCAAAGGGGGCTTAATCCCAAAACCTGACTGAGATAAGCATGATATCATATAGGCAGGAAAGGGCTGTTGAAGGAGAAAATCAGCCATGAACTCATTCTGTGGGAGGTCCAGCTTGAAGGGCTGAAAGGGGTTCTGCTGTTTTTTGTTTCTTATGTTTCTAAGTTTCTACATTTCTATGGTGTTGAAAGAGCTACAGTCAGTTGCTGCAGTGCATTGTTTAGTTGGCACATGCTAAAATCATAGTACATCAGTTGACGAGCAAGTGATTGTTGAAAATAGTAGATGGTGCCTCAGTCAAGCAGGTTGCTTTGTCCTGGACATGTTTCCAGCTTTTTGGGTTTTGAAGCTACATTCATCCAGGCAAATGGAGTGTATTCCATCACTGTCCTAACTTGTGTCTTGAACATGGTGGATGGGCTTTGGGGAGTCAAGAGTTTGAGAATCAGCTGCATTATATTTTGTTTGACAGACCTCTGCATTTGGGAAGAGAGAAGGAGCTTTAAAGATGGTTCAGTGTTCCATTTGTAGCCATTGAATTCTCTTATTGAAGATGTTGCAAATAATGTCATTAGACTGATATTTGTGAACAAGATGAGGTCAAAACACAAGCCAGACATGCACAACCATGGATACAATATTGTACTAATGTCTGAGATAAGGTCTCCATGTTGATTCATCCTTGAGTTGAAATTTGCACCATATCTACCATAAGAGATAAAGCAATTTTTTTTACAGAAAGAGTGGTCTTGCCTGCAATATGATGGCAATGTTTAAGAAGCATTTAGACAGATTCGTGAACAGGCAAAGAATCGAGGATATAGACCATATGCGGGCAGATGGGATTAGTTTAGAATGGCTTCATGGTTGACACAGACATGGTGGACCGGAGATCCTGTTCTTATGAATAGAAAGAATGGAAATTTATTGTGACATGTACCTTTACATGAAAAATACAGTGAAAAGTTTTATAAGTCACCCCACCGCAGTGCCTACATCAATGACAGAAGTTATACATAATTTTTTTAAAAAGTAATATTAAGACAAAATTCATCACAGTTCAGTTAATGGTTCCTGGGCTTAGGAAAAGCCGATTAAGGAACGATGCAATACCCTGAAGACACAGCCAGACTGAGACTGCCATTCCGGAATGAGACTACCACGCCAGGAAATGACTGTGTGCCAGGCTGCTGGAACACCTGGAAGCCGAAGACAAAGAAGAACTCCACACGAGGAAGAGACTGTGGGACAAGACATCCTCATCAGGAAACCGCTGCGCTGTGCCGAGACATTACCTTTACTTAGGTGCCTGGGCCCAGCCTGAGACTCTGGGCCAGGGAGTTAGCCTGGGACTTGCTCCTTGCTTGCAGGGAGACTCTGGGCTTGGGTGGAGCTGCATTTGTCTAATTGTGATGTTGCTGCCACTGCTGGAGGCCTCCTCCGTCACCTGCCACTCTCCAGACCCAAAAGAAATGAAAGTGAAAAGAAAAGAACCAAGGAGAAAGAAAGCCAATGGGAATGAATGAACATGGGCTTAGCC